TTTGCAAATTATGGTGGAAAATAAGTATTTGGTCACCTACAAACAAGCAAGATTTCTGGCTCTCACAGACCTGTAACTTCTTCTTTAAGAGGCTCCTCTGTCCTCCACTCGTTACCTGTATTAATGGCACCTGTTTGAACTTGTTATCAGTATAAAAGACACCTGTCCACAACCTCAAACAGTCACACTCCAAACTCCACTATGGCCAAGACCAAAGAGCTGTCAAAGGACACCAGAAACAAAATTGTAGACCTGCACCAGGCTGGGAAGACTGAATCTGCAATAGGTAAGCAGCTTGGTTTGAAGAAATCAACTGTGGGAGCAATTATTAGGAAATGGAAGACATACAAGACCACTGATAATCTCCCTCGATCTGGGCTCCACGCAAGATCTCACCACGTGGGGTCAAAATGATCACAAGAACGGTGAGCAAAAATCACAGAACCACACGGGGGGACCAGTGAATGACCTGCAGAGAGCTGGGACCAAAGTAACAAAGCCTACCATAAGTAACACACTACGCCGCCAGGGACTCAAATCCTGCAGTGCAAGACGTGTCCCCCTGCTTAAGCCAGGACATGTCCAGGCCCGTCTGAAGTTTGCTAGAGTGCATTTGGATGATCCAGAAGAGGATTGGGAGAATGTCATATGGTCAGATGAAACCAAAATAGAACTTTTTGGTAAAACTCAACTCGTCGTGTTTGGAGGACAAAGAATGCTGAGTTGCATCCAAAGAACACCATACCTACTGTGAAGCATGGGGGTGGAAACATCATGCTTTGGGGCTGTTTTTCTGCAAAGGGACCAGGACGACTGATCCGTGTAAAGGAAATAATGAATGGGGCCATGTATCGTGAAATTTTGAGTGAAAACCTCCTTCCATCAGCAAGGGCATTGAAGATGAAACGTGGCTGGGTCTTTCAGCATGACAATGATCCCAAACACACTGCCCGGGCAACGAAGGAGTGGCTTCGTAAGAAGCATTTCAAGGTCCTGGAGTGGCTTAGCCAGTCTCCAGATCTCAACCCCATAGAAAATCTTTGGAGGGAGTTGAAAGTCTGTGTTGCCCAGCGACAGCCCCAAAACATCACTGCTCTAGAGGAGATCTGCATGGAGGAATGGGCCAAAATACCAGCAACAGTGTGTGAAAACCTTGTGAAGACTTACAGAAAACGTTTGACCTGTGTCATTGCCAACAAAGGGTATACAACAAAGTATTGAGAAACTTTTGTTATTGACCAAATACTTATTTTCCACCATAATTTGCAAATAAATTCATTAAAAATCCTAAAAGGTGATTTTCCGGATTTTCTTTCCTCATTTTGTCTGTCATAGTTGACGTGTACCTATGATGAAAATTACAGGCCTCTCTCATCTTTTTAAGTGGGATAACTTGCACAATTGGTGGCTGACTAAATACTTTTTTTCCCCACTGTATTGAAGCAACATCTCAAGACCTCAGTCAGGAAGTTAAATCTTGGTTGCAAATGGGTCTTCCAAATGGACAATGACCCCAAGCATACTTCCAAAGTTGTGACAAAATGACTTAAGGACAACAAAGTCAAGGTTTTGGAGTGGCCATCACAAAGCTCTGACCTCAATCCTATAGAACATTTGTGGGCAGAACTGAAAAAGCGTGTGCGAGCAAGGAGGCCTACAAACCTGACTCAGTTACACCAGCTCTTATTGTGGGAAGCTTGTGGAAGGCTACCCGAAACGTTTGCCCCAATTTAAACAATTTAAAGGCAATGCTACCAAATACTAATTGAGTGTATGTAAACTTCTGACCCACAGGGAATGTGATGAAAGAAATAAAAGCTGAAATAAATAATTATCTCTACTATAATTCTTACATTTCACATTCTTAAAATAAAGTGGTGATCCTAACTGACCTAAGACAGGGCATTTTTACTAGGATTAAATGTCAGGAATTGTGAAAAACTGAATTTAAATGTATTTGGTTAAGGTGTATGTAAACTTCCGACTTCAACTGTAAATGTGGGAGTAATGATTAATAAATGGGGAACACACAATTTATAAATGCATTATAAATAGTTTATTAGGTACCCTTAAAATAAAGTCTTACTATATTTTTGTGGGTTTAGTTGCATTGTCTGAAAGTATTCAAAATACACTGAAAACTAAAAAAAGACATAATATATATATACAGCTAAAAATACAACAATGTGAAGTAAAAACAAGTTGATGTGAGGTTAAAGAAAAGCCCTGCTTACACCTGGTGCTAACATGTGTCCTTTGTTCTGATCTTGTCCACATTCTGATTGTGCCAACATTTTTAGACAGGTGTAGACGATTAAAAGACACATTGTGATCAGATCTTCCTGACCACTTCCGGAGGTAGTCAGGGTGCCATCTGGATATCAATCAATTGTAAACAGATCTGGATGGTCAAACCATTTAAATCATGGTTTTATCGGCCTCTAAAATCATTGACAGCTATTACCATTGATTTATGGCATCAATAATCGTCTTAAAATAAATACATTCATATTATATTAAAAGAATGTCTGTCAAATAATTTGCATACAGGACAGGGAGGCACCAGGAAATCTGGTCACAATGTGGACAGAGTGGATGGATAAGAGAGACATTTTAACACCATGTGGAGACGCGACAAACTTTGATCAGATAGTAATTAGATCATATTGATCAGATGATCACAAAACCCACATGTTGGCGCAAGGTGTAAACGAGGCTAAAGTATACATTATCAATTTAGCTGATTTTGCTTATGTTACTTTGGACAAAATCAAGATGTCAATATTCTTGTGCTGCTTTTTGTATGAAAAAAATTAAATTACAGCTGAATTTGCGATTAATCGCGATTAATCTCAGCAAATCCATTAAAAATAAAAATAGTTTGACAGCCCTAGTAATATCATTTGATCAGTATATGTCCACTGTGCTCAATTTGGGATTGGCATTCTTCCGAAACCCGAGGAGGCGCTGTTGCGTGTATCTTTAGTCTGCTTGACGCATACAAACCAAAAAGGGCGAAGAAGTAAATTGAAGCCCATTTGGGGTTTCCACTAGATACTACAGCTACAAAGTAAATTGGCTATATCGTAACAATTCATGAAAACAAAAATTAGCTTTAAGGTTAGGCGTAAGGTTAGCAGTGTGGTTAGGGTTAAGGTTAGGTTTAAAATACAATTTTAAGAAGATAAATTGTAGAAATAGGCGGGGTTTATGACTTTGTGCTTGTGGTAACTAGTGACGACCGAACAACTGTAGCAAGAGCTTCCGGTTTCATTTGATTTAGCAAAAATGAAATCGTTGTTTGGATAGATCGTAAACATCATGTACTAAGTATTCATCTAAATCGTATGGAGATTGACTAATAACATGGGTATGTAGCTACATTATACTTGGAAAGTGTCTGCTTAATGTTGTGATGGCTTGAATATAACGCCCTGTCGCCTAAACCAGGAAATCTAGCTAGTTATCTATTTTAGCTAGCTAACTACTTGCTAGTTTTTAGGTGATATAAGTGCATTATATTTACAAAAGTATGTGGACACCCCTTCAAATTAGTGGATTCGGCTATTTCAGCCACACCCGTTGCTGACAGGTGTATAAAATCGAGCACACAGCCATGCAATCTCCATAGACAAACATTGTCAGTAGAATGGCCTTACTGAAGAGCTCAGTGACTTTCAACGTGGCACCGTCATAGGATGCCACCTTTCCAACAAGTCAGTTCGTCAAATTTCTGCCCTGCTAGAGCTGTCCCGGTCAACTGTAAGTGCTGTTATTGTGAAGTGGAAACGTCTAGGAGCAAGAACGGCTCCTAGACGGTAGACCACACAAGCTCACAGAACAGGACCGCCAAGTGCTGAAACGCATAGCGCGTAAAAATTGTCTGTCCTCGGTTGCAACACTCACTACTGAGTTCCAAACTGCCTCTGGAAGTGACGTGAGCACAATAACTATTTTATCTGGAGCTTCATGAAATGGGTTTCCATGACCGAGCAGCTGCACACAAGCCTAAGATCACCATACGCAATGCCAAGCATCGGCTGGAGTGTTGTAAAGCTCGCAGCCATTGGACTCTGGACAAGTGGAAATGCTTTCTCTGGAGTGATGAATCACACTCACCATCTGGCAATCCGACGAAGGAATCTGGGTTTGGCAGATGCCAGGAGAACGCTACCTGCCCCAATGCATAGTGCCAACTGTAAAGTTTGGTGGAGGAGGAATAATGGTCTGGGGCTGTTTTTCATGGTTCGGGCTAGGCCCCTTAGTTCCAGTGACGGGAAATATTGATGCTACAGCATACAATGACATTCTAGACGATTCTGTGCTTCCAACTTTGTGGCAACAGTTTGGGGAAGGCCTTGTCCTGTTTCAGCATGACAATGCCCCCGTGCACAAAGCGAGGTCCAATACAGAAAGGGTTTGTAGAGATCGGTGTGGAAGAACTTGACTGGCCTGCACAGAGCCTTGACCTCAACTCCATCGAACACCTTTGGGATAAATTGGAACGCCGACTGCGAGCCAGGCCTAATCGCCCAACATCAGTGCCCGACCTCAGTAATGCTCTTGTGGCTGAATGGAAGCAAGTCCCCGCAGCAATGTTCCAACATCTAGTGGAAAGCCTTCCCAGAAGAGTGGAGGCTGTTATAGCAGCAAAGGGAGGACCAACTCCATATTAATGCCCATGAGTTTGGAATGAGATGTTCGACGAGCAGGTCTCCACATACTTTTGTTCATTATACTCCCGAGTGGCGCAGTGGTCTAAGGCATTTGCGAGTGGCGCAGTGGATTGTGGGTTCGATTCCCACGGGGGGCCAGTATGAAAAATAAAAATAAATAATGTATGCACTCACTCACTAACTGTAAGTCGCTCTGGATAAGAGCGTCTGCTAAATGACTAAAATGTAAATGTAAAATGTAAATGTAGTGTAGCTACATTATAGATGTCCACAGTATTGTCAATAACTGACATGTTGTATTACTGTTTTATTACAGCCGTAGCTATGAGTTCAACCTGCCCGGGACATTATTGTGGCAAGACGTTGATAAATGGCTCGTTTGATGGAGAATGTGGGGTGAGTATAGTTCCAGCTGAATTTTAACAAGTCATCTAAGCTGTTGGAATGGCATTCTAGCTACTACTGTAGCACTTAGGTCTGTAACCTAGTATTAGGCTATACCCATACCCTAAAATGTAGTTGCATTATCAGGTATGTCCCAGAGGAGAGAGGACGAACATGCAGAAGATCTGTGAGAAGTGTACAGGATCCCCTGAACTTTATGACTGGCTGTACCTGGGCTTCATGGCAATGCTGCCACTGGTTCTACACTGGTTCTTCATCGAGTGGTACTCTGGGAAGAAAAGGTAATGTCTCATATTCAGCCCAAATTACTGCAGTCATAACCAGTAGTGGCGCGTAGTTAAATCACTGGAGAAGCTAATCCAGAAAGAAACTAACATATTACAACCTATGTGTTGTGGTAGTTGCGTTGTTTGCTCTATAACGTGTTAGTTCATATGCCTTGCCACCGTGATATATAGGCCGAGACAATAAGAAGACCCAGTGGCAGAATAAATTCAACCACACCTTTTGTTTCATTACAAAACCAGAGAGCAACATCTGTCCGGTGAAGTCCACAAAACAAATTGCATGTAACAAACACTTACATGACCTACAGCATGGTCAAGCAAGGTAATGTTTCCGACATTTTCAGACTACTAAACAATTATTGATTTAGAACCACTGAGCGTTACCGCAAGTCGCAAAGAAAACAGGAGATGCCTCCACTATTCCAGCATTATTTCAACTCCGACATTTCAACATCTAATCACCTATGCTTAGTCTAATACAGTGACAACTATTAATAGATACCAAAAATATTTTAGTCCAATCAACATAAGCTAAATATGATGTCCATGTAACTGATTTATGTGTTTGTGTAGTGTGTGTGCGTGTGTGCAAGTAGAAAAACATGTTGACTCACCCTACTTGTAGAGAAACGCCAATGCCATCCTCCTCTTTCATGTTGCCTAAACGGTCTATAACTCTGTCATATATTACACACTTTTAGTTTTTGTTGTCCTAGGCTACCTGGCTAAAATACTTGCTTGTTAGCCTAACTTCCTTTCATTGGCAACGATGAGCCAGGCCAGCTAGTTAACATTAGCATACTACATACTACGTTATAATCATTGGCCAGTTTGGCGAATTAAGTAAAACCACAAGTACAAATCCCTATCTCCATCGATGGCTAATTTAGGAAAGGGATGATTTGAGCTAGCTAGCTAGCCACCGGAGGACAACAACATAACGAGATGCAACAATTCAAGTTTTTTTCTGTCAATAATGACATTTGGTTTGTGATGTGGTTGGTCTGAAGGCAAATCCAAACTGGCTTCCCTGTGCCAGGACCATTCACAGCTGAGCTCACTCAGTTTAGCTCAACGCTGATTGGCTATAATTTATTTATCAAGGAAGGCCAAATGCTCGCTGGCTTCCCTTGCATTCAATGCTATGGGCGGCAACAATGTCATACTCTTTCTGACCAGACAGCATCAGATAGATACGCTACACATACTGAGACAGAGGGGCGCTGTTTCATTCGCTCTGATTCTTTATCCTGTGAGATACATTCAGCTTCTTACGAATGGAAGGACGTTTATGAAACACCGAGACGAAAGATAAAAAAACATACAAAATGTATTTTTTTGTTGGTACATTTTTCGGGGAAGCCTGGCTTCCCATTGCATCCATGAACATATCATATCTAAATCTGAAATGTCATAGATTACAAATTGCAAGAACAGATCACTCTGGAGTCGGCGGTTAACAGAATGTGTAATTTAGCCTAGTAATCACCAAAACTATGTTTCAAGTGTGAATTAAGCAGGTCTGATGCCGAAAAATAAAGGAAATTCTTGGCTACTTCACCCATATTTAATTTTTGTTACCTGGCAAAAAGTAATTAGCTACTAAAAACACTAGCAAGATTTTGAATTTAGTTAATCTACCATTAAGCTACTACAAAATGTAGTTAAATTACTGGTTGAACTACATGCAGTTCAGTACTCCCCAACACTGCTGTAGAGGTATTTTATGAAAGGAGGAGTTTAACATGGTCCTGTAGTAGCCTACTTGGTAACTCACGTTAATGTTGCTGATATTATGTATATTGTTCTGAAGCTCCAGTGCCCTCTTCCAACACATCACAGCCCTGTTTGAGTGCAGCGCTGCGGCTGTGGTGACTCTGCTGGTCAACGACCCAGTGGGTCTGCTGTCTATCAGGTCCTGCAGAGTCCAGATGCTGTCAGACTGGTACACCATGCTGTACAACCCCAGCCCAGACTACGTCACCACTCTACACTGCACACAGGAAGCTGTCTTTCCCCTGTGAGTAGCCTATGACTCGTCCATGTCATGAATTGGATCTATGAACTTTGCACTTTTAGGGCTGGTTTCCCAATTCATCCTGGACTCAAAGCATGCTGAAATAGCTTTTTAGTCCAGGATTAAGTTCAATCTCTATCTGGAAACAGTCTCATAATTAAGTGATATGAGTTGAACATATGAAATTGGTTGGTATGTTCAGCTTCGGAGCAGTGTGCGCACAATCAAGCACAGTGTGATGTGAGATGTTTTGTTCATTGAATAACATGACTTGTTCTGTGTCCGCAGGTACACTATAGTGTTGATCTACTACGCCTTCTGCCTGGTGTTCATGATGCTGCTGCGTCCACTCCTGGTCAAGAAGATCGCCTGTGGTCTGGGGAAATCTGACCGCTTCAAGAGCATCTACGCTGCTCTCTACTTCTTCCCTATCCTGACAGTCCTGCAAGCTGTGGGAGGCGGCCTGCTCTGTGAGTATGCTTTCAAATAAGGGGCCAGTCAGGTTCAGGCCAGTCAGGTTTGGGCCAATCAGGTGAAGTCCAGTTTTCATTTATATAGTATTTATGGTTACATAATTGATTTATGTGAAATACATTATTTTAAGGCCAGAGGTCTTGTAGCCTCGGAAGCCCAGGCATCTCACGTTCTGTTCCAATGCCTGGGGAAGTTCTCCTCAGGAAGACAAAAAAAACAATGGGTGGAGTCTACATGGAAGCTAGTGACACGTTTCTACTTATCAAACTCATCAAATATTGTGGTCTGTGTGGTCCAGCGGTAGTGCTGAGCAATTAACCGACAGATAGTTTGAAAAAAAAACCTGGTTATTAAACAACTAATCGACCGACGTCGGTTCAATTACTTGAATTCCATTTCTTTCAGGTTTTTTTTTTAGCCCAATGCGCTTTTTAGCTAGAGAGAAATCAAATCATTCACGAGAGAAATCTGAGAAATCAAGTCAAGAACTATGTGGGACGCTGGGCTGAAGGGAGTTGTAGTTGTCATTTAAGCAAATTCAACCTAGTTCAGTACAGAAACTTGGTAATTAACTCAAATGACCATAATCCATTGCACCATTTTTTTTCCAGCTGAAGAGACAGATCAGAGGAAGAGGCGAAGCGAGAGGTTTCACTCTTGCCAAAGTCTGTCCAAATTAAGCCCAATGCGTTTCTATGGGCTTATTTTGGACCTAAGCTTGTCGCCTGCCTTCCCACCTTTTGGGATAACGACTCCCATTGTTAGGGCATAGACATGAGCATCTTGTCATTGTATACAGATCTCTGGACGGATACACTTTTACACCTGCTACGTTAGGTTAGATATACACAGACCGCATAGACTGCATGAGAGAGGAATAACACAATGACAGTTTGAAAGTATACCTTGTCTACTTTGAAGAACTAGTAAAATGATTTTGTCAGATGGCTCTCCAGGCTAGCTAAGTAGAATGACTAAAGACACAGGACAGTATAGTGAGCACATAACGTTAGATGGCCTGGCTGGCTGACTTATACTGCCTAAGCAGAGATGAGATGATTACTTTAAGGAATGAAAAATAATAAAGTCATCAAATAACGTAATATAGACAACTGAAATATCTTATTATTTCATAGTAATTTCCTATTTTTCTATTGATGTCTACCCAATGTGGACCCGACAGAGACCATGGAATATTTTCAATGTTTTGGCAATTGAATGTTCACTATTTTTGGCTTTGGCATTTCCATGAAAAAGCTCTAAAATCATTGTAACGTCATTGTTTCACAATACATTTAATGTGAAAAAATAAATAAAAATGACCTCAACCTCAAAAAGGACTAATTGCTCAGCACTATCCAGCGGTTAGAACCACTGAACCAGGCACACGTATGTCGGCCTGGGTTCAAATCCAGTCTATTGCCCTTTGACTCACCCTCCTGCTATCTTCCCTGTCTTTCCAATACTTTATTAGTTCTTCAAAAACCTAAAGAAATACAAACTTAGTGGGCCTGCCCCACTCCTTTAAAAATTTAAGAGTTTGTGTTTCTGAAAAATGTTCGGACTTGCAACAAACTAGCATAAGATACAAAACTAATGCTGCATAGGCTACCATTTCTTTTCCTGACACGGTAGGAAAAGAGACAGAAAAGAGACTAGTTCACTATTTAAAAAGAAGATGGAGCAATAGGATGAAAAATACCAGAGTTTTGGCGCAGGCACAGCCGACTAGGGCTAGCTAACGATACCTAGCCAAAAATAAATAAATATACCCTACCGGTCAAAAGTTTTAGAACACCTACTCCTTCAATGGTTTTTATTTTCTTTTTACTATTTTCTACATTGTAGGATAATAGTGAAGACATCAAAACTCATGTAGTAACCAAAAAAGTGTTTATATATTTTATATTTGAGATTCTTAAAATAGCCACCCTTTGCCTTGATGAAAGCTTTGCACACTCTTGGCATTCTCTCAACCAGCTTCATGAGGTAGTCACCCGGAATGTATTTCAATTAACTGGTGTGCCTTGTTAAAAGTTAATTTATGGAATTTATTTCCTTCTAAATGTGTTTGCGCCAATCACTTGTGTTGTGACAAGGTAGGAGGGGTATACAGAAGATAGACCTATTTGGTAAAAGACCAAGTCCATATTATGGCAAGAACCGCTCAAATAAGCAAAGATAAACAACAGTCCATCATTACTTTAAGTCAGTCAATCCAGAAAATGTCAAGAACTTTGAACGTTTCTTCAAGTGCAGTCGCAAAAACCATCAAGCGCTATGATGAAACTGGCTCTCATGAGGACCGCCACAGGAATGGAAGACCCAGAGTTACCGCTGCTGCAGAGGATAAGTTAATTAGAGTTACCAGCCTCAGAAATTGCAGCCCAAATAAATGCTTCACAGAGTTCAAGTAACAGACACATCTCAACATCGACTGTTCAGAGGAGACTGTGTGAATCAGGCCTTCATGGTCGAATTGCTGCAAAGAAACCACTACTAAAGGACACCAATAAGAAGAAGAGACTTGCTTGGGCCTAGAAACACGAGCAATGGACATTAGACCGCTGGAAATTTGTGCTTTGGTCTGATGAGTCCAAATTTGAGATTTTTGGTTCCAACCGCTGTGTCTTTGTGAGACGCAGTGTGGGTGAACGGATGACCTCTGCATGTGTATTTCCCACCGTAAAGTATGGAGGAGGTGTTATGGTGTGGGGGTGCTTTGCTGGTGACACTGTCTGTGATTTATTTAGAATTCAAGGCACACTTAACCAGCATGGCTACCACAGCATTCTGCAGTAATACGCCATCCCATCTGGTTTGGGCTTTGTGGGACTATAATTTGTTTTTCAACAGGACAATGACCCAACACACCTCCAGGCTGTGTAAGGGCTATTTGACCAAGAAGGAGAGTGATGGAGTGCAGCATCAGATGACCTGGCCTCCACAATCTCCCGACCTCAACCAAATTGAGATGGTTTGGGATGAGTCGGACCGCAGAGTGAAGGAAAAACAGCCAACAAGTGCTCAGCATATGTGGGAACTCCTTCAAGACTATTGGAAAAGCACTCCAGGTGAAGCTGGTTGAGAGAATGCCAAGAGTGTGCAAAGCTGTCATCAAGGCAAAGGGTGGCTATTTGAAGAATCTCAAATATAAAATTAACATTGATATGTTTAACACTTTTTTTGGTTACTACATGATTCCCTATGTGTTATTTCATAGTTTTGAGGTCCTCACTATTATTCTACAATGTAGAAAATACTAAAAATAAAGAAAAAACCCTTGAATGAGTAGGTGTTCTAAAACTTTTGACTGGTAGTGTGCATACATACATACAGTGGGGGAAAAAAGTATTTACATTTACATTTACATTTACGTCATTTAGCAGACGCTCTTATCCAGAGCGCTTACAAATTGGTGCATTCACCCTATAGCCAGTGGGATAACCACTTTACAATATGTTTTTTTTTTTTTTTTTTTTTAGTGGGGGGGGGGGGGGGGGGGGGGGGGGGGGGGGGTAGAAGGATTACTTTATCCTATCCCAGGTATTCCTTAAAGAGGTGGGGTTTCAAATGTCTCCGGAAGGTGGTGAGTGACTCCGCTGTCCTGGCGTCGTGAGGGAGCTTGTTCCACCATTGGGGTGCCAGAGCAGCGAACAGTTTTGACTGGGCTGAGCGGGAACTATGCTTCCGCAGAGGAAGGGGAGCCAGCAGGCCAGAGGTGGATGAACGCAATGCCCTCGTTTGGGTGTAGGATCAGAGCCTGAAGGTACAGAGGTGCCGATCCCCTCACAGCTCCATAGGCAAGCACCATGGTCTTGTAACAGATGCGAGCTTCAACTGGAAGCCAGTGGAGTGTGCGGAGGAGCGGGGGTGACGTGAGAGAACTTGGGAAGGTTGAACACCAGACGGGCTGCGGCATTCTGGATGAGTTGTAGGGGTTTAATGGCACAGGCAGGGAGCCCAGCCAACAGCGAGTTGCAGTAATCCAGACGGGAGATGACAAGTGCCTGGATTAGGACCTGTGCCGCTTCCTGTGTAAGGCAGGGTCGTACTCTCCGAATGTTGTAGAGCATGAACCTGCAGGATCGGGTCACCGCCTTGATGTTAGCGGAGAACGACAGGGTGTTGTCCAGGGTCACGCCAAGGCTCTTCGCACTCTGGGAGGAGGACACAACGGAGTTGTCAACCATGATGGCGAGATCATGGAACGGGCAGTCCTTCCCCGGGAGGAAGAGCAGCTCCGTCTTGCCAAGGTTCAGCTTGAGGTGGTGATCCGTCATCCATACTGATATGTCTGCCAGACATGCAGAGATGTGATTCGCCACCTGGTTATCAGAAGGGGGAAAGGAGAAGATTAGTTGTGTATCGTCAGCGTAGCAATGATAGGAGAGGCCATGTGAGGATATGACAGAGCCAAGTGACTTGGTGTATAGGGAGAATAGGAGAGGGCCTAGAACTGAGCCCTGGGGGACACCAGTGGTGAGAGCACGTGGTGCGGAGACAGCTTCTCGCCACGCCACTTGGTAGGAGCGACCGGTCAGGTAGGACGCAATCCAGGAGTGAGCCGCGCCGGAGATGCCCAGCTCGGAGAGGGTGGAGAGGAGGATCTGATGGTTCACAGTATCAAAGGCAGCAGACAGGTCTAGAAGGACAAGAGCAGAGGAGAGAGAGTTTGCTCTTCTCTGTGTCACGGAGGCTCTCCGCACTGCTAAAGCTGTCTCAGTTGAATGACCAGTCCTGAAACCTGACTGGTTTGGATCAAGAAGGTCATTCTGAGAGAGATAGCAAGAGAGTTGGCTAAAGACGGCACGCTCAATAGTTTTGGAAAGAAAAGAAAGAAGGGATACTGGTCTGTAGTTGTTGACATCAGTGGGATTGAGTGTTGGTTTTTTGAGAAGGGGTGCAACTCTCGCTCTCTTGAAGACGGAAGGGACATAGCCAGCGGTCAAGGATGAGTTGATCAGCGAGGTGAGGTAGGGGAGAAGGTCACCGGAGATGGTCTGGAGAAGAGAG